CTTGCACGTGTAGTTGATGGAAATTGACTAGTTGGCATCTCGCCTCGACGGTCTGCCTTAGCCCCACCCCCTTTAGACAGAGCTGCCTGCACGCGGCACTGTCATAGAGTACCATTGCGACTACCCATTGTTTCTTTTTCTAGCATTCCTGTAATCTGTCTGTAATCATTTACAGGCGTTTTAACCCCAAAGTTGTTCTACAATACAAATATAAAAATTGGCTATCGCAACATGAATATTTTCTTTGAAGCAGGTCAAGAAAACGCTGTATCACTCGTGGATCTTTATCTAATTCTTTGCTGTGACAGACTAGTTCAAGTTCATTGATTAAGTCGAATAATTCCTAGGACAGATAAATTAAGTTGTCCTTATTTATCTCCGAAATCCAGTTTTCCATTGGTTTCCCGACAAAATATGGATGAGTATTCTGGTCTGTAAGCAACATATGCCATTGCCTCTTGTAATACCATGCTTGCTTCAGAAGGAACGTTCCGACTCGTCGATAGCTCCAAGAATCCATAGCTTTCTTGGATAGTATATGTGGGTATATATCAACTCCCAACAACAAAAACTTTTTTTTTTTTTCTTTTAGTCGCCGTACAAGTCGCCGTACACGAGAAAAAAGTTTTATAAACAATCTTGATTTGATTTTGCAGTAAGGAGAAAGTTTACTCGGTACTTACCCCAAACATATTTAAACAACTGTGATATTGCATATCCAGCTATAATAAATGACTTTTGACAAGGAAGCATGCATTTAACATTTAAAAATCTGCACGAGGGAAAACACGACTGAAAAATGTGAGAGCAGCGTGTTGTTCATGTTCCAGTTCAAATGCGCATCTCTCGTCTTTTGTACTTTAGCTGACGTGAATTTAAAATGTCAAAAGCTTTATCTGGATTTTGAATAAAAGTAGCCTGGGAAGAATATTCATGGATGTATCTACTTTGCTACAGTGCTCACTTAAAATCTGTGCAGTCTTATATTCTGCCTGCTGTGACCTTCATCCTGCAAAAGGTTATTGGAAGAATGACAAACATCGTGGGAAGCTTACGGAGGTGGGTAACCACATTTATTGTTAATGGCTTGGGTTTAATGGTCTCAAATTCAGAATATTTAACCATTGCATTACTGAATCATTGTAGATCCATGAGCTGTTAGGTTGACCCTCCCCTAATATAGCATACACACGGACACACACACACACACACACACACACACACACACACACACACACAACACACACACACACACACATATATATATATATATATATATATATATATATATATATATATATATATATATATATATATACATGATATATATATTGCATATCTTTATGTATATATATATATATATATATATATATATATATATATATAGAGAGAGAGAGAGAGAGAGAGAGAGAGAGAGAGAGAGAGAGAGAGAGAGAGGGAGAGAGATTTATAACTATCCGGGAGCCCAGAATTATTTGTTTCACATGCAAAAAGTTTGAGGCCTGGAATGTATGCATCTACGATAGGAGACCACAAAAAGGCAATTCTTAAGTTCTGCAATTCTACATAGCAATCAAGGGGCTAAAGACCCCCTAAATTTGACTCTTATTTCACAATTAGAATACATCTTTCAGACTTGGCTTAAATGTTCTCTGTATGAGTGGAAATCAGAATTCCCAATTCTTAAGTTCTCAATGTGTGTATTAACCCACTTAAGAGAACAAAATGTACTCATTGACCCTGTTCATGGCAAGGTGAGTGTTAATGTCACAATTTGAAGTACATCTTTCAAATTGCGTTCAAACCGTTCAATAGATCATAGTGAATGAAGAACAGCAATTCTTAAGTGTCCATGTCATGCATCAACCCACTTAAGAATGCAAAATGTACTCTTTGAAACCCACCTTTGGGAATGTGCCATTACTATCCACACTGACAAAAAGGACAATCATATATTGTATACAAACTCAATGTTGATATATATAATATATATATATAATATATATAATATATATATTATTATATATATATATAATAGTTATGAGTAATATATATATCATACTACTAAAAAATGTACTTAGTATGCATGAATTATGCTTCAAAATCAGATCATACATAGGGCGTCTTCTGTACGTGCCTAAAAGGTAATCCAGTATTAAAGTTTAATCCAGATCTTCTAGTGCGCATGCGCATTGGCAGCGTCCAGCATCAACTTTTGATACACCTTTAGACAAGGCTTTAAGGGGACCATTCCTAAAAGGGGCGTGGCTAATTATGGGGGTGGGGGGTCATATTGGTAAATATTTCAAAAAATTAAACGGTTTTATGGATTTTCTTGATTTTTGGATATTTTATGTATTTTCATATTCCACATCTTTTGATATCAAATTTATGGGGATTCCCACATGGGCGATGGCCCCGCAAAAAAAAAATCATTATTTTTTCACATGTGTCTGCGCGAACATTTCCTTGTCCCAGAGGCTTATGAATTGTCATGAAAAAAAAAATGTGAATGAACATCAGTGAATTCCTAAGGCAATATAGTAGCCGTTTTTGGAAATTCGATTTAGTTTCCTCAGAAAAAAAAGAAAAATATTTTTCCCCTTTCCTTTCGATTTTCAAAAATTCGTTTAAAAAAAGTAAGTAAAATTTCAAAAATCCGCTACTAAGGGGTCTGCACATTTTGACAAGGTTTCCAAAGATATATCCAAAATTTTATCGGATAAAAACTCTGGAGCAAGGAAATGTTCGTAGCTCGAAAAAAGAAAAATCGAAAAACGAACAAAAAGTTGGATATTTTTTTTTTTCATTTATGGATCTTTACCAATTCATTACTGTAGAAACTACTATTATTTCTCTTTCAAACGCACTTTGTTAGGTAAAGATATGATCAATAGTCTCCGAGTTATAGAAACAAACAAACAAATGACTCCCGTGAAAAGGGGCAAATCCTCTTTTATTGCTGTTTTCTTGTGTATATATTCGTTTACATGTGTATACGCATGTAAATTATTGTAAAGGTACATGGTCGTACACGTGTATATGCGTATGTGCACATATACTTATTAGATCCATAATTATTTATTTCATTTATATATTTTCTTTTTATTCCAGTCTACTCTTCTTCCCCATCGCCTAAACACGTGATTCCGCCTCGAAACAAGCGATAAACGTTTAGTCACCCGCGGAGTACTTGTTATGGAGGGACAATGAATTGTAGTGTTCGTTACAAATAACCGTTTAGAAAACGTTAATGGATCAAATATATTTTGAAATACAAATCTCTTATATTCGTTTATCGTGGATAATTCTTGTGATGTACTAATAGATATTTATAGGCCGATTTACGAGTTTACACAAATCAATTATATCATACTCTTTCTTTACATTTATTTTTTTCTCGTAAATGGATTTATAATGACAATGATGTTTAATCGATTAATTAGTTTCAAATGAAAGCGCATACGTAAAACTATTGCAATCAGAAAAGTCTAAAGCGGTGGCGACGATTGGAGCTTTGTCGCGTGGGTCCCTGCGAGACGGCCTTGAACGCGCACGGGCCTCCAGTCCGTGTGAATATCTATTTGTTGCGAGTTTATTTTTGGAGATACAGACTTTGTAATTGCTCATGTATTATCACCGAACCCTAAACATACTTATATGATGAATTTGTCAACATTGAATCATATCTACTATATTTTATAGGAAAGAAATTTGAAAAGTCGCATAATGATTTTTTATTTTTCTTCGTCTTTCATATAATAAATCTTTCACTTTGGGATAAAACTGTTATAATAAGACACTTTTATCTTCCTGTGATCCATTTCAATAGGTAATGTCAAAATACAATGCATCATGTTAGCTCCTGTGAAGCGAGAGTGCGGAAGGGTGAAAATCGCTGTCAGTGGGACTTTGGGTTCTGGCCTCGCGCTTGGTTCAGGTTCATAGCAAAGACTATCTACGAAAGACCGGAAAGTCAAGCAAAATCCTGTGAGTAATGCGGCGTCGGCGCAATAGATGGCGTTAGTGAGCATCTTGTGACGTCATCTCATACCCGTCTGTTTATTTACATCGAAGACTTATACGAAAGATAGGAAAGCATGGCAAGAACCTGTGATCCCCAGCGGTTGGCGGATAGTGTATTATCTGAACAATAGATGGCGTTGTGTACGTGATGTATCGTCTGTTTGTTTACTATCATGAAACGTCACTTACTCAAAACGGTAGGAAAGGGATTGTTTGCTTTTTTGGTTTGTTTGTTTGTGCATGTTTTATGCTTCCTGTTAGGCCTGCTTTTATTAATACTTTTATTGATAATGTCTTGAAATCAAATAAAGAAATGTTTTACACAAATGTGCTTTGTATATCCTTGATTTAATGACACAACATATATGAATGAAAAACATGAAGAATTTATTAATGCCGAATGATTGTGGAGTTTATTTTACATTGTTTATTTAATAAATTGTAGAGTTTGTTGAATTTAAGTTCATATTCATTATATGAACAGCAAATATATTTTCTGGAATATAATTGTAGACTATTTAAATAATGGAATAATTTTATGATTTCATGGAAATATGCATACACATAAGATAATTATTAATAAATGTTTTATAGTCATATTCTGAAAAAAACAGTGTTAAACATTATTTTAATGTATGTAAAGAAATCTCTAATTAAAAAAAAATCAAATAAAAATTAAAGAATAGAATGATTTTATAATTTCATGCAAATTAAGAAAATATATATATATATATATATAATATATATATATATATATATATATATATATATATATATATATATATATATATATATATATATATATAATATAATTATTATAGAATATATTAAGTCTCACTATTTTTTTTATTCGGTGTAATACGTGCTTTCCTGTATTTCTTATATAGTCTTTGATTTACATAGAAGCGCGAATATTGTTATGACAGTTCCGACATTGCCAGGAAAGTCTTATCCTAGTTCTGCTTGTAAAAAGC